ATTTGATGGATTTGTGAGTTATATTACTTTTCTCTTCATATGTCAAAAACAAAGACGAGTCGACCCATGATATATATAACATTTTTTGCTTAAAATGGCCTTTCAAATGTGTTGGCAAAGTCTGACAGTTGAAACTTAGAACACCCTGATATGTAATTGAAAAATACGAACTTGGTACTTATTATAATATAATAATAATGTAATAATATAATAATGATATAATAATGTAATAATATAATAAGGTTTATGATATAACAAGATTAATAATATAATATAAGCTTGTAATATAAGCATAGGCACTGTGCAACTGCAGCATCCCTAATTTTTCAGTACATTTATTAATCTATTTGTATTTGTTTGTAATATTTAATTTTATCATCAACAATCGTAAGAAATAATAAAAATTCATTATACTTACAGTGTGTATGTATATTTCAAAAATTGCAACATTTTGAGTCACAAGTCGCCACTAATTACATACAATGTTTATAGGTATAGAGATTAAAGCAGTTTCAAGATTTAAACTAAAATTTTTTTCTTGTTTTTACTATCTTTGATTATTTGCAATATCATTGCATAACGAACAATCATCTATGATTAGTAATAATATACTCATTAGCACATGTGATCTGTATAATAGTTGCATATATTGCAAATTCATTATGATCTTAATAATGTTGCAAGAATATAATATCAAAAGAAAAAATTATTACAAGAAACTATATAGTATTATGTGGTATTTAACAAAATTATATTTAACTAAATAGATTAATTCATGATATTCTTTACATATTCTTTAGTACATTAATTGCAGTACATACAAAATTTTTATAAATGTACCATATGTATATATAATAAGGCAATATATACAGTGATTCGTGATTTCATTGATAATAAATCTAAAACAAATCTCAAAATAGAGAAATTCTATTTCATTAGTGAAAGATAGAAATTATAAGATTTAGTGAAAGGTTAGTATATACCCTATAGGTAGGTGAAAGGTAGAACTATTGTGATTTATTAACATAGTGATAATTAACTATATTAGTACTCCTGCAATGTCTGCGAAATGCATGTTTGTAATATTTATATTAATTCTATGATACACTGCATTTTCAGTTTTGTTTCAAATTATTCCAAATTCAGTGATATAATCGTGATAATCATGTTGCAGTGTTAATAAAATTTCGAAATGTTTCATACATTATATATTCATAAAAATTTATATATTTTCCTACAAATATTTTAATACGCGCAATTGAAAAAAAAAATTATAACTATGAAATGGTAGAAAATAGAAAAAAATTGTATGATTTGTACGATTTGTAAGTAAACAAAATTGAAAGATTTCGTAATGTTGATCTATGTTCTATGGTGACATTTTAAACATTTAAAAATCACGTCTATTTTTTTCATATGTCCCATTATATTTTTATTTAGTATAAGACATCGTGATTGAAAATTTCTTAATTTGAAAAATATTTTCATTTTAGTTTTCTCTAATTTATCGTATAAAAGTACAATTACATTTATCTTATAATCTTCCTGTCTTTCATATATTCAATTCGATGAAATTAAAATTGTAATATCCTTTAAATTAAATATTTTCACTTACGTTTCAAAAAACAAATTGATTAGTGTAAAAAGTTTGCAATTTTATTTTAAAAAGTTACTTCTAAATCATTGAAATATTGTAACTTCTCGAATAGACATATATATCAAATTATACATTTCAAGCTATTTAATTTTATAAAATCTAATTGTCTTATCTTATATCGTTTAACTTATA